AAATGAATATTTTATGTATTAAAGAAATAAACAAGGCCCCATTATGCAATTTAAGAGCAAATTTGTCCTTGATGCTTTCTGTACAGTGACTTTTCTAATAATTTGGTCCAGCTACTTCATTAAAGTAAAGCCTTACACTAGATGAAATAGCTGATAGCTAACGGCTTATTAGGGAAGGATTTAGAGGTAATTTCTTAGATGAGGTTCCTAGTAGAACTGATCTCAGTGATCAGTTTATAAAACAAGGCTGGTATCTAAAGCTTAATGAGTCTGGGCCTGTGAGGATTCCATCCCTGAACCAGTTTTCAAATCCTAGTGTTTATCCCTGGATAAAGGTGAAGTGGGATATTAATGCATTACATGGCTATCTCCTGCTAAGGAAAGTGATCACCTAAAACTGCCAGCACCTTTCTTAAACACTGCTTATTTTTATCCTGCAGGAATACAGAGAAGTATGAAATAGATTCTGACTACAGGTCAACACTGTATTCTCCAGCTATACCTATCTTGACAGGTTGCTGTCATAGCCAAGACACCAGAGCCAGTTTCATTCAGAACTTAATTCAGAACTGAAAGCCGCCATTGTCAGTCCCTGAAACTATTTAGAAGGTTGATTCAGACACACATGTAAATTTCTTGAGGACTTGAAGCTGAACATTTGCACAACTTTTATGGAAACAATGTTAATGTTGTGTTATTGGGTGATATCTGTCCACAAAATGTGTGATAAGCATTTCATCCAAGGGACTCATGTGCTTGATTGGAACAGTTATTAGAACAGTCTACTAAGTCCATTTTGTACGCAGGCTGAGACCGTACCATCAGATGTCAAGGACATAAACAACTACCTGACTTTTAGAAAACTTCTGAAGGCAGCCCTGTTTAGGGAAGTTTTAAATGTTTGATGTTTTACCGTGTTTTTAATATTCTGTTGGGAGCCACCTAGAGTGACTGGGGAGACCTGGCCAGATGGGCGGGGTATACGTTGTAGTAGTAGCAGTAGTTATTATTATTTCCATATCTGAGTGGTTTCATCTACTTGATAACCAAATCCTAGCCAGGTTTTCCGTGCTCTAATAAACTGACTGGGGTTGATGGGAGTTCAAGATATCTGGAGTCTGTCAGGTTGGAGAAGTCTGATCTAGAACTTCATTGGTTGTCACTATGTTTCTGAGAACTGTACAGACTTTCAAAGTCATAAACAGCTTGGGTTCCTTGTATCTAATGTGACATGAAGACTGGCAACATCAACGCCACCGTGTGGGATGAATGCAGTGCCTGGAGACAGACAGACAAACATACATAGGTCATGTGTCCATAGCAGTGCCCAGAGGAGGAATGACTGCTGGGAGGAGTACAGAGAAAAGAAACATCTGCAGCAGCACAACCAGATACCTTCATCTGCCCCAGCTACAACAAAACATGTTTCTACTGTATCGGTCTCTACAGCTACAGCAGGCACAACAACTTTCCAACAATTTGACTTCATCCCCAAAGGGGCACTCCTCAATTGTCTTCTGAAACAGACAGATTCCAAAAACAACCTCTGTCGAGTTCTTGCCTGGGTGTTAAGGTTGCTGATGGTCTTCTTCAGATTCCCTGGCCAATGGTATGGAAACCAATAAGAAGATGCTTTCAGCTGTGGTGCCCTGTTTGTGATAGGCCCACTAAAAGCCTACTTTCTGATATTTTAGATTTCAGACAACTATCTGCCTATTTCCTAGGGTTTTTAGGTTTCCTAGATTTTAGTCTGCTATTTCAATTTGTGATTTGTTTAATTTGTGTTTTGATGCTTTATAAGGGTGAAAATTGCCAAATTAGTAAAAATAATGTGACATGCCACTACATGCCCACTATGGAATAAGCAGTTGTCCTCTTCATAATATGAACTTATTTGTATTAGAACTTACTTTAGAACAGTGCATGAAATATGGATAAACCATACAGAATATGCATTGATTGTCATTACTTACACATAGGGAACAAGGAATCTGTTATGTTGAAAGATCTATGAATGAAGGGCGGCATACAAATTTAATAAGTAATAAAAACCAATAAGAGCTAAGTTTCTTCAGGTTGTCATGTTATTCTTTGATCTAGCGAACAGGACAACTGTTCCTGTGCAGAGTTGTTTTATTGTCATGTTAAGGTAGTGACTATAATTGTACAAACTTTGGGAAAACCACAGTTTCCACAGTGCCCTAGACTTTGCTACCAGTGTGCCAGGATACCAGGGTGATGAAGGTAGAGAGAGGAAAGGGAGATGGTCAGTGCACTGCCAGTGGTTCATCTTGACTGGTAAGCAAAAGGGAAGGGGAATATATATGCATTTATAAGGGCAGCTGTTCAGGGCTTCCCCGAGTTGCCCGTTGACTTACTGTAACAATTTCATGGTGAGTTTGCTCACCTGTGTTTCTTGGAAAAAAGCACTGGGTTTTATGAAAAGCTCATATTTGAGCCTGGCTCAGGAAACCTTGGATAATTATGAAGGAAAAACCAACCAGCATGCAACTGATTATGCAAGTGGATTCTATAATGTGTGTGTGTGTTGTGGGGAGTGCCTTTCCTTTATCCAGGTATCTACCAGTAACCTTAATCCATCTCATATGTCAACACAGGTCAAATTGCTCAGCCTGCACTCTGTACATAAACACACTCTTGTTTTAGGACTCATTCCCCAAAGGATTGCGACCAGCTAAAATGAATGATAAAGAGTAAAAGAAGTATTGAACAGCTGTCTTGTTCCCTGGGCATTTTGTATCATAGAATCATAGAATCATAGAGTTGGAAGAGACCACAAGGGCCATCGAGTCCTGTGAGCTGATTAGGGGAAAAAGGTCTGGAAGGAATATGCAGTACATGTCCAGGGTTGCTTGGAAGATGAAGAAAAATAAGAAAAACAAATCACTTTGTAAACTAAGGCTGTAATCTAATCCACATTTATTTGGGGCTATAGAACTTCTTTGGAATTATGACTGAATAAATTAGTATAAGGATTTGTGTAATGCAGTGTTAAAAGGTGAACAGCAAAAACAAAACATCTGGAATACAATCAGGAATGTTGTCTTAGCTTTCAATGGCTTTCAGTTCACTGTGTGAAGCACTTCTGTTGACAATATTGTTTTAAGTGATATGAAAGATATGCATATGATGTTTGTACTATAATGATAGTTACACACAACTAAGCCATTACTGGATATTGCAGCCATCAAGTAAGAATAATAAATATGTGATCTCCTCTACAGATGCCCCTGGTAACTCAAATGCATTTATTTATTTATTTATTTATTTATTTATTTATTTATGCTGCAGTTAATTCTATTTAGCTTCAGCCTGAAATTGCAAAGTTGCTAAGTAGATAATATGCAGTCTCTAGAAGTAATGAGATGCTCATTCAGCCTTTTATTTATCAAACAGTCAGAGGGCATACATTTCATTTGGATAAGCACACATGTAAATAGCACAGTGTGCTTTCTTACTTATATGAGGCACTTTAGGAGACAATACTTGTCTGAACAGTGAGATGCAAATTTGGGTTGTCCTGGGAGCAGAATAAACTAACCTAAGGTAGTAATGTGCGTTACTTCTAATGGGGTGTAGTCTAAATAGGAATAACGTTGGATGCAAGCCATATAAATAACAAACAAAAACTGTACAGGGACAAATAGTAAATGTACGGTACAATCCTAGACTAATTTCCTATGAAGTAAGTCCCACAGTGTTCAAAGTGAGTCTGTTTAGGACTGCAGTCTTAAATAAGAACATTTGATGTTTAGATCAGGGAGAAAGCATCTGACTTCCACATGCCAAAATCATGGCCTGTACATTAAAGCACAGGCCAATGCTTGTTTGTTCTAGCATATACCCTTTTCTGAATTACTGTATCATTACGCCAGTTTGTTAGCTCAAGGCCAAAGAGGTCTAACTGTATTAATGCAGACATCTGTTGCCCTGTTGTGCGCTCATTTTATCTGTCAGGTTGCATATTGTTTTTAAAGGCACTGTCTTTCTTTGAAAGTTTTGATGGCTTCAGCTTGCACACTTGTCACCTCCGAACAAATTCTACAGCTCAGTTCTTGTCAGATATTCCAGTTGTCACTTGGCATGTTACATTTGGGAAGTGCTGAGCCTTCCTGAGAAACTCTTCCTCCCCACATATACCCTTGAAATTTCTCAGATATTTCTTCTTAGCAAAATTTTTTGAAGCTTGCCTTGAAATTTCATTTTAGCAGGAATACACTGGCCTCTCTCTTTCATGTCAGCCAGTTGGTCTATGGTTCTAGGAGCCTTGGTGCCAGTCCTTACATTAGGCAGAGTGAAGCAGCTACTTCAGGTGGCAGATGCTGTGGGTGAGAAGTTGGGGTAAGATGTTGGAGGAAAGAACTGTGTGCAGCACACAATGTGCACTACACCCTCAGAGCTAGCCTACTGTACTTAAATGTGATAGAAATGATGTTCCATCATCACCAGTGTTGAAGTAAGATTCTGCTGTCGGGTTAGCTTTTGTAAATGGGATTTATGTGGTAGCTGGCACTCTTTTCCTTCAGCTCAGGCAACAGAGTGTCTTAGGCCATTATTCCAGGCACAATTACGAATCAGAGTAATGTAGTTTAGGGTTACCAGACATCCCCATTTCCCGGGGACAGTCCCTGGATTTCCAAATCCGTCCCCGGACAAATTCTGTCCCCGGATTTCATTAAATGTCCCCGGGAAATGTGACACCCTGCTCTCCTGGAGTAATATGCAGCTGGAGGGCCGGGGAGATAGTTTTTGCGCAGGCAGAGGCAGAGGTGGATGGATCAAAGAGTGTGAAAGAAGGGCTTTGCACCTTGCCCAGCAGAGAAACCGCACACCTTGCGCCCCTCCTGCCCGCCCATGACTCCCGAGCCTCCCCCGATCTCCTGCCCCCTTGCCCCTTCATTTTGAGAGATCATGGGTGGGCAGCTGTTGCCCAGGAGGGGCACAAGGCATGTGGTTTCTCTGCTGGGCAAGGTGCAAAGCTCTTCTTTTGCACCCTGTGAAACTCTCAAAACAAAGGGGGACGGGGGAAGGGGGAAGGGTGCAGATGATCAGGGGAGGCTTGGGGGCACCTTGCCTGGTAGGGAAACCACGTGCCTTGCGCCCCTCCTGGGCAACAGCACACTGCCCGCCTGTGACTCCCAAGCCTCCCCCGATCTCCTGCCCCCTTCCCCCTTTGTTTTGAGAGTTTCACAGGGTGCAAAAGAAGAGATTTGCATCTTGCCCAGCAGAGAAACTGTGCCCCGTGTGCCCCTTCTGGGAAACGACTGCCCACCCGCAACCCCCAAGCCTCCCCCAATCTATCAAAAGGAAGGGGGATAGGGGGCAGGAGATCAGGGGAGGCTCGGGAGTCATGGGTGGGTGGTGCACAGTTCCCCAAGAGGGGTGCAAGGTGTGCAGTTTCTCTACTGGGGAAGGCACAGAGGGGTGAGATGACTTTGATCCCCTCGGCCACCTGAAGCGGTGGTGGAGCAGGGACAAAGCCAGGCAGCTGAATGTGAACGAGAGCGTGTCCCCAGCAGCGGGGAACTGCGGAAGTCAAATTGGAGCAGAGAAGGCTTATGTTCTTTTAAGTTGAGGCTGCTTGAGTTGAGGTACCTCCATTGCAGTGGGTTGGCCTAGATGCCCCTCAGAGGTCCTTTCCAAATCTCTGATTCTGTGATCATCCCACAGTTGTATTCTCAAACTCTGCTTCCAACTCCACCCCCCAGGTTTGTCTCCTCTTCCGGACTTCTGAAGACAGCAAAACAGCTGATGTACAGATGTAATTAGGGATAATAAAACATGTAATTTTTTTTAAAAAAGTGTCCCCGGATTAATTGAAAAAAATCTGGTAGCCATAATGTAGTTGCAATCAGTAATGAATTTATGATTCATGAGGCTATTCATTGATCTAGCTAAACATGACTATGTCTGAAAATATGACAGAGCTAAATGCATAAGAATGAACTAGGTAACAACATGGGTTATGTTTGTTTTCTGCTACATGATTAAAAACGTCTCTGCATCCAAAAAAGGAACTTTACTTAAATAGAATGAATTAAAATTAAAAAATAAAATAAAATATGCATAAATGTTATATATTATTGAGATTTTGGAAAGTGACACACTTACTAGGCTCAATGTCACTTTGCAGTGACCCTTCAAAGTTGATGCAAAGAAAGCACCAATATCTGACAATAGGCAAACATCCTGGGATGTCGCACACAACCAGACAGAGGACACAGTCTCTTGGGAACAAGTACTGCAATTTTGGAAAGCTTGTATAAAGATTAAAGAGCACAGAAGCTTCCTGGGAGAATGGTTTATGCCCCCACTTTGGGGAAAATGTCTCTATGGCCATAAGAATACATACAACACATCCTGCCCTTCTGTCTCTTGGAAGACAGCATTTTGCAGTGGAGAGGAGGAGTGGAACAAGGAAGAGCAGAAGCTGCAGTTCACAAAAGCAACAAGTAAACTAAAAAAACTATTTCATCCAAGCTCTAGCCCTTAGGCACTTGTGAGCACATCACAGGAATCATGTCCCCACCTCAGTGAGTGAAAATTAGCTGTACATTTCCTGTGGTAGAATGAGATCCCTTCAAATATGAATCTACTCATAACATTCTGTTCCGTTGGGTTAGATCCAGCCACCTGGTGGCACTGTTGATTAAATTTGGGGAGGCAAAAATACACACTTCCCCCATTGCTCACAAAAGGGATATGTGCATAGCTCCTCTGAATTAAATTGGTCCCATGACTGGCTTTGAATCCTGTTGCTGCTCTTTCTTGGGGGATAATGAGAAAGTCTGAGTGCAAAGAGAGATGCTGCGGGTTACTTCAGAAGCATGTATTTAGCTCCAAAGTCAGACGCTGAAAACAAAAGCACACCATGGCAACTTAAAGATGCATGTACACTACAAAAGACATGTAAATATTGGTGGGACTAAGATTTTTCCAGGACAAGAAACATATGAAGAAGATCACTTGTCAAAAAATGAGGGTGTTTCTGCCCCCTCCTCCAGAGATCAACAAAGCAGGCTGACTTACTGAAAGAGACTTACTGAATGAGTTTGCTGTTTTAGTAGATTTAACAGGTCATATAGCCCTGAGGGAGAAAAATACCTGGCTTTCTCCATTGGCTCCTTATAATGAGGTATCAGGAGCCTTTCACTGCCATTTTCAGGTGGATTTTTTTTTACACTCAGGTGCGGCACATGCTTTCTTCGACTTTATTATGGATTCTGCAAAGAAATATTTCAGGCACACTGAAGATATGACATCCTCTCTCCAAGATGAAAATAACAGATAAACCTTTAAGCATCCAACAGCAGAGTTTTTAAAATATATATGAGGGAACTCAAGCACTGGAAAAAATCTGGACGATGGTATCTAGCTTCACGGGAACAACAGCACTTTGCACTCATTTTGGATGCTCTTTGTAGCCCTAAAAGGCAGATTCAGAAGAATTGCTTTGCATAGCCTGTATCTTCTGTGCACATCATCAACTGGATCTGTACTTGTGTGGCAGAAGATGGGAGGGTTTTGATAAAACAGTCAAAGCAGGCAAGAGTTGAGAACAACGTATGCATATGCACACAGTGTGACTTGAAATCCTACCCCAAAGGTTTGTTTTGCCTAAGGCCAGGAATTTTTGTTGTACATTAGCAACAGCAAAAGCTTTGTGGCATTCATTGTTGAATTGTCACTGATCATGAGCTAACAATTACCTAGCTTTTTTACTTTGTCTAAAAATATATTTTTCACATCTTTTGGGTGAGATCAGTAAGAAGTATTTAACAGTAAAGTGACAAAAGAGGATGTCCTCTGTGTCCCTACTTAAGTAATCCAGATATAACCTCATGGTGACAAGTTGCCCCCTAGTTGTTTCTTGTGCCCTCACTTATACCATTCCTTGAGGATTGGGATGCTTCCACAAAGTGATCCTTGAGTCCTCCAAGAGGCATCCTAGCCCCCTCTTGAAAAGGCCTTCTCCCTTTTCTGGGCTCTTTGCTCACAATGCAGTGCCCTTAAAAGCTACCAAAGGAAAGTAACAAACTGACACACCCAGAGTGCATCTGTGTGTAGCGTGCCTGATGTGTGTGACAGTGTGATGAATGAAGCCAGCAGTTTCAGTCTGTTGGTGGGATTCAGCCTTGTCCTAATGGGCTCAGGAGAGGGTATGCGGCACATCAATTGATAGATGTTCTCTCATGGCACTGTCATTTAACCACTTTTTTATTCCTTTGTTTTATGCAAGCCAAACTTGTAGATGCCGTCAAATTCACTCAAGACAGTCACCAATTTTCTATGTTTATCAGGGACAGAGCAGTTATAACAAATGTCTCTTTGAAAATGCACAGTAACTCTCCATACAAGAATGAATACATACATACATACATACATTGTGTGTGTGTGTGTGTGTGTGTGTGTGTGTGTCATATTATTGATTTTTCAGCAGATCCAGGCAGCAGTTTATCACAGTCTTGACTGGGTGCTTTAATGCACAACTAGAACATGAGAATTGTAGCTGTGGCTGCCATAGAATATGAATGATGCTGTAGTATAGTAGTTGTTTGATGCTTCAACTAGGCAAACCTTTGCTCCGCAGATCAGAGTTCTGCTGCCCTTCCACTCCCTTCATGCCAACAGCTCACAACCACTTCAGGGCCTTCTTCCTTTTGCTCTTTCAGTTCAGAGCAGGCATCGACTTGCTTCAGTTTATAATTGGTGTCTACAGTTTTTTTGTTTCAGACCTTCTGCACAAATCAAAGCGGGAAGCTGGAAATATACAATCAAAGACAACTACCTCACCTTGTTTACTTCTTGTGAACCTTCAGACTGATTTTCATTTCAAAGTAAAACCAGCAGTGGGCTACATAATTATTGAAGCCGTTTCCTCTGTTTGGCATGGATGCACACCAGTTTGCGGCATGTAGCATTGCAGTTTTAACCCAACCCATGCTTTGAATTATAATCTTGGCTGCCTTGCATTGGCTTCATATTTGCTTTCCCTCCAAGCATAGCTCCCCCATGGTGTGGAAAAGAAGACAATCCACATCACCTGCTCATTGGAGCAGACTGTATGGGAGAGACACTTGCTGCCAACTGAAGCTGGAAAAGACATGAGGCAGCTTGATTCAGTTACCTCTTCTCATTACTTGAGTTTTTGAACAACATTTCAGGGCTTGTTTCAGTTTTTGGTCTCTCCTCCCCTGTCCTGTAGTGTCTACCAGACCAGACTCACCTGCAGAAAAGATACTGAAGCAAATTCCCTCATTTTGCTTGTTCCTATGTTTCAGGTCATTACTCTTTGTAATATAAGAGGTGTCTTGGGAAAAGGGGATGACATTCAAAAGAACTCCAAGTGTGTAAGATACAACTATCCCTTACCAGCAGACAATAGGCATTTCTCAGCAGTGAAAACAAGAAACCTTTTTCTATAGGCCAACTTCACAGGGACCATTTGCCAGATACTGCCTATAATGAAATCTGGGGTTTCTAATATGCATGCTACCCTGACTCTTTCTTGTAATTTTGAATGCTAATCCCAGACATATGAAGACTGGTCATGATTGTTCACTAATAAAAGATGACCTTACACATTTGTCAGAGGTTATTATGTCACATTTCTGAAGGTGACGCATAGCATAGAACTGAATCCCAGCACCTCCCATTTAGAAACAGGGAAATGTTTTTTGCCCCATTTGTTTCTATCTGCATTTGTTTTTTTAATAGATACAAATGAGTGTGCATTTACTTTTCATTCTTATTCATTTTTTGTTTCATTCTTATTCATATTATTTCTATCCCACTTTTCTTTCAGGGAGCTCAAGGTGGCATACAAGTCCCCCCACCTCCTCCCTCTCCATTTTACCCTCAACAAAACTGTGAGGCAGGTTAGGTTGAGAAATGGTCCAGTGCTCCAAGGTCACCCAGTGAACTTTGTGACCGAGTGGGGATTTGAACTCCAGTCTCTAAGGTCCTAGCCTGACACTCTAACCACTACACCGCACAAAAAATGGGGGAAGTTTTGCTTCAACAAGGACTTCAACCATATGGCTTTACAAAAGCCTCCTCATTCAGAAATAGATTTCTATGTTTTTATAAATTCTCAGAACCATATTTGCTTTGAGATTGTAGCCAACTCATACCAACCCAAGAGAAAAGCAGTTTGCCAGCTGCATATTCCCAAAAACACAAACTGTTTCTCATAGCTGTACAAGAT